ATAATATCTCTTCAGTGCTGTAGTATACCTTCTGCAGAGACTATGATTCCTACTGACAATGTTCTGGAGCAATATTTAAAGCAAACAAACCCCGAAACTTTGCCACGCTAGAGGTCTGATCTGTGTACTGTCCTGTTCGACGGCGCTTGGTACTAGATGAATGGAAGAGAGAACTACGGTGCATGTGTAGAATAATTGTCCTCCCATGTGTCTTTTCAGGTTTTACAAGCCCAGAGATGTCCTGCATTAGATCTTGTTTGTTACCTACTGTTGAACCCCTGTCTCATGCATTTATCATCATCATTCTTTCCCCTCGTCCATGCATTTGACTTCCACAACGGCTTATCCTTAAATCAGCTGGGGTTAGGGAGGAAGGATCCTAAATTTTTACTTACTGAAATCAGATAGTTTCCTGTCTTCTGAACTGAAGGCGTAAAGAAATCTTTCTTCATATCTGAAAATCACTTAGGATTTTGTAAGCATCACTCATCTGCCAGCAGCAGTTCTGTGACCGATTTAGCTGTGCCTGGGAGAGGAGAGGAACAGCTCAGCCTGTGACTGGAGAGGACCCAAGTCAGAGCTTCTCTCGGGCCGCAGGGAAGGAGGTCTTCACTAGCAAGTGTGACTGGAGGCTGCTGCCTCCCAATCGGCATTGGGCGACAGAGGTGGGAAGCAAGGCAGAGCTGCCATGGGAAGCTGCAGAGCAACATCGTTGTCGTGTGCTCGCTGCCTGGAAGCGCCTGAGGGAAGGCTTAGCAGAGAACAGCTGTGGCAAACGGGTTTTGGCACAGAAAGTGTAGACAGGAGAGCAAGTGGCACAGAGAAGAGATCTTGATGGGTATTGGGCGGGCAGCCAGGGTTAAGTGCAGTAGGTTTCTTTAGTGTTGCTCAGACAGTTACAGAAAAGGTGTTTTCTCAGATGTTTCAACAAACTTAATTTTTTCATCTTCCTGTATAAAAACAAGGGAATTAATTCAAGTGGTGTGGAATACCTTTGTTATATTAGGACCTTGTAGAATAAAGTGTAGCCTTAAATGTCTCTTGATTTTATTGTGGGTTTTTTTTCTAGTCTATATTTTTCCTAACGAGCTTGAGAAAATAGGTGCAATATTTTCTAGCTGTTTTTCCCCAGGAGAAATTTGATTAAATCCTGCATTTTTTTGAACATCACACTTCTGTTGAACTGTTTAGGGTTCAGTGATGATGAGTCAAGTGTAAATTTTCTTCCTGTACTTTTCTTTTCCTGAGCTCTCCTGAGACGTCACATCACTCTCACTTTAATGATGTTTGTGTGACTTCACCAGGCATCAACTGCAAGAAAGATGGGGGTGTGTTGTCTAGTAATATGTCACTCAGCCCACTGAAGGTCTGATTTTAATAGTGACAGGCTATTACAGCAAAGTATGGCAGTCTTCGAGTGTTTATGTTCTAATTGCTCAACTGGTTCTTCAAGGTCATGCAGGTGAAATCAAGGATTACTGTTTAAGCAGTGTTTTTTCACTCTCTTTATACTTTCTGGTATGAAGTATACTGTGCCAAGATGGTATATGCCTTCTCCAGAAAATTAACCTTTTAGAGACTGTGAGTTAGTGTGACAGCAGCTTGCAAGAAAAACAGTATTTCCGTATATCTTTTCTATTGTAAATAACATTTATAGAAAGAACAAAAATATTTCCCCCCCCTCTTCCCCTTCCATTATGGTGAAGAGTGCATGCAGAGATTCCCGTGTCAGCTTTCCTTCTGGCACTTATCTTCATCTTCATGAAATGTATTTTCAAAACATAAAACTTTAAAAAGCATTAAAAAGGATATTAAAGCCTGTAAAAAGAAGTTTTCTTTAATTAAAAGGAATAAAAATGTTAGGGTTGTCCAGAAGTGACAGCTGTCTAGCTTGTCACTTCTACTTTAAATCTCAGCACACAGAATTATATCTGTCAACATATGGCCCAGTAACTAGATCTTGTAAGTCCTTCTGCCATTCTCAAGTCTCTTTAGTAACATGAAGAATTTAGTGCTATTAGTTGACTTTGTCATCTCGGGCAATTTCTTGGTACAGGCTTTGGATGACTGCAGTTTCCAAGATCTCCTTTGAAAGCTTAATAAATAAATAAATATTTTTTTTAAAAAGTCGTCTTCTACTCCTCAAGTACTGCTGAAGTATAAAGCAAGCATTAACATACTGAAATGATTATTGCAACTATTATGTCCTTGAGCTTCTTTAGGACTCTTGGCTGAATGTCATTCGCTCTTGGTGGTTTGCTAATTTATGAGCTGTCCATTTGCTTTATACTTTTTTCCAGCAGAGCTTTGCTTTGAAACAGATCCTCTAAGGTATCTTCCATAAAGGGGTCTTTCACTGGTAGAATATCGTTAGACTCCTCCATAATGAACATGAAGATGCAAAAAAAAAGTAGGTGTTTCTGCCATGACCTTGGCTTGTTTGAGCATTTTTTGATGCATCTATGTCCTTGCTTACTTTAGCCTTACAGCTCGAAACAGGCTGCCTACTCCTTGGTCCTCGAGTGTCTTGAAAAAGGACTTAGTTGTGGTTTTTATACTTTTTTTTTCCTCATTTCCTAAAATTATTTGTGAGGCTGTCTCGTATTTTTTTTGTTGTTGTTTAGCTTGCTATTGTTTGAGCCCTGTTTGGGCAACGTCTACAAGATTCTTCTAATGTTTTCTCAAATATGCTATTTAGCCATCTCCTTCCCTTGCCTGTTGTGTTGTTATTCACCCTCACTTAAGTCCTTTTCGTGGTTTTTTTTTTTTTTTAATTTTTTTTGCTCTAAGCCTCATACAGTTTCCTTAAATCTCACTGACTACAGACATTTAATTTTTGACGATTCTCTTTGTTTCCTCCTATTTGACTAATTCATGCCGTTAAATTTCTCGGTGTTTCTTCCTCCTGCAGGTATTTAGGTCGCTACTAAATTCTGGAGGTTTTGCACTAATACTTTGAACCAAATTCTACACAGTGCTTAAGATCAAGAGATACCTTTTCTTCTGTTAGTAGCATGACAGCTCATTCCATGAAGTGGTCACTCCTGATGTTCACTATTTTGTGTTGGTATCCTGTGACATTTAGTGGATAACAGAAACCTCGCACTGTTTTTGTCTTCGCTTTTGTAACATCTCTGCCTCTAGCCTGGTCACTCGACAACTGCATGTTTAAATGTCATGGCTTGTGCATTTCTTGTTACAGAATCATAGAATGCTTTGGATTGGAAGGGACCTTTAGAGGTCATCTAGCCTAACCTCCCTGCAGTGAGCAAGAATATCTTCAGCTAGACCAGGTTGCTCAGAGCCCTGTCCACCCTGGCCTTGAGTGTTTCCGGGGGTAATCACTGTCTTGAATGTAAAGAAAGTAAATGTACTCCCTTAATGAATAGGTAATTTTTTTAGATAAACTTGTCTTTTTTTAATTTTCTCAAAAAAAAAAAAGTTTGAGCTGCAGGTACCAATTTCATTCTAAACTTTCTTACTGGTTTCATTGTTCTGGAATGCATATGCATGCCAATAACCAATGGATGTTCAGTAGTCGAGGATTTCTTTTCTTAGTGAAGAAGACTTTCTTTAATTCAAAAGACCTTTCTTCCACTTTTAGGAAAGTGGCTGAATAAAAATAGGGAACTTGTTCCACATCAGCATTTTTGCTCTAATGATTTTAGATCTGAGATGCTTGACTTGCATATTAGGGTTTTTTCTTAAATACCTACTATTGAAAGTTAGCATAGGATACGTAAGTGAAGTTGTGTTGTTTCTTATTTGTATCTTCTCTAGCAATGATTTGAAGATTGTGTTTTATCCTCTACTCTGCCTTTGAAAAATCCGGCTGAAGGCAATGGCTTTGCAATAATCTCACTGGCTCTGTGGACCGAGCAGTCGGTAATCTTGTGGATGTGTAAAACTGAAGGACGCTCCTTTGTACTGGAGGAAGCTCCAGTTTGAGTTTCTGGTTTGGTAGCAGGGTAAAAATATTTTCTGTAGTTTGTAAATCCAGCGTACAAGATGTGGGGGTTCCTACATTCAACGGGCTGGTTTGTATTGCGGTCTTTAGAGTAGTCTTAGAAATATTGATATCAGGTAGTAGTAGGTTGAAAACTGGAGAGCAAGAAGAGGTTAGCAAAAACATGTAAAAGGTGGCACAGAGGCTTAAGGTAAATTATATCTGAAATTCAAGAGATAAACCAGTGCTCAGGAAGATGGAAAATAAAGAATAACAGAATTGTCTACCTTTTATTTCCCTTCTCACTTTTTTTTTTAAATCAAATGCCTTTTCAAGTCAGTGTCATCTAGGACTCTTCATTGTCACTGACTTGAACTTGTATGATGTCTTGACTTTACTCTTGTTTCAGTGTCCTCAAATAATGCTGTATGAGAACACTTGGGGCTTGTGGAAGGCACTTCATTGATATCTAGTGTGGTCTCTCTAACACTTGTGGAGAAACAAGGTATAGAAGAGATCTCTAAGAGGTTTCTATATGAATTACAACTTGGGGCAGGAGGAAGGCTGCTCCAGTGGAATAGCTGAATGCCATTTGGAGACTTGCTGTGGAAGGTTCTTCCTGGTTAACAGTGCATATTTTTCTAAGCAGTATTGCATTCAGCTTTCAAAAGGATAGAATCTTTGGTAATTGTCTCGATTCACAATAGAAGTTTAAAAGCTAAATGCAAACAGTCAAATACAGAAGGAAAAATGTTACTTTGTTTATGACTTCTCTTTTTTTCTGTATCAATTCTTTAATCTTAGAGTTGCATTGTTAATAAAACAGCTATAGTGTAAAAGTTTATAATACATAATTTGTAAACTTTTGCATCTGTAGGACTCTTATTACAAAAGAAAAGGGGCTTTCAACTTCTGCACTCAATCAATTACCCATGTTTGAAAAGCTGTTTTATTAATCCTCAGATTCAGAGGAAGATTTTGTTGTTTAATGTTTTTAGTGCTCTTTTAGCATTAAACTCAACTTCCAATCAATGTATTATTTGTTTTTTTCCAGGTTTCGCTAAATGGTACACAGTTTACAGACGGTTCTGTTGGATCAGAGTTCACAGGTGTTTCTCAGGTATGTGCAGCCAAATTTTGTGGATGTATGAGATGGCAGAATTGTTTACTAATGGGTAAAGGCATTAAACAGTATTAAATGTACTAGGCAAAACTCTTCAAAAATATTTCTGTTTGAGATTGGAACTTGGCTAACTGAAGTCAGTTTCTGATGACTTCACTGTTCAAGCTTTAAAAAGCAGTGAAAGCTACAGTTTCTAAAGTAAAATTTTATTGTTGTAATAGGCTTGAAATTGCACATAGATGTAAAAAAAAAGCAGTGCAGTTTTATGGTGATAAAGTTATTCTTGGAAAGAAATCTAAATACATAGCAGAGATACAGTTATTTCTGTTCTGGCTTGACCTACTTCCAGCTTTCATTTATGAATGTTATATCAGGAACATGTTTCAGAGAGAAAGTGAGACTGGGTGTTTTCTTGCAGAGATGCATCACACATTTTTTTGAAGCTTGACTAGTGGAAAAATATCTTGCTTTTCTCAGAATGTGCACTTTGTTGTGATTACACTGAAGACACATACAAATGTATACATGACCTAATTCCAAGCTCATCTAATCCAGGAAGAGTTTACTGTTGCTGTTGAAATGGTTGCGTGAACAGTCACTGCATTGTTCATGTTTTAAATAAACCAGAAGCTGCAATTCGTAGCTTCATTTTAGTATGACAAAGCCATAACAGGAGTCTGAGATGCTTATGGTCTAGGTTTTGTCAAGGTTCTAACTGTCAATTTTGTTAGAAATAAACTGCTTAGAGGTTTTCATTCTTAGCAGTTGATGTGCATCATGCTCTAGGAAAACAAGTGCTTTCATTTGAACTTCAAATCTGTTGTAAGTATAGGCCCAGCTGGGAGATTGTTAGGCTTTTACTGAGTCGGTGAGTTGGCCAGAGTTAACGATTGTTGTTCCTGCTGTATTTGCCATTGCTTTTTTTAATTATCATGGTGCAACTACAAGCAAATTACACCTATAAGTCTTAAATTCTAGAAGTCCTTGCAGCATGGTGGGATGTGTTTACCACGACGCTTACCTTTGCAAAAGTGTGTCAGGTTGCCTTACCTTCTGAACTTCTACATTTTTGTCCTCTGCTTTTCCTGCTTCTTGGAAGATGCCCTGCAGATGATGTTCATAAGAATTTGCCTGCAATAGCTATAAAGATGTCATTGTCGTTTGAATAGATTTGATCTGGCTTCGGAAAAATTTGTTTTAACAAGGAAACTTTGAGAGCTGAGGGGTTGAGCAGCCATGGCCTCCTGCATGCAGGGTTTTTAGGCATTAATAAGATCTGCAGTTGCACACAGGTCAGCCAAAAGGAATGTCTAACTTGAGAAAACTGTTCATGTTTGTAGAGCCAGTAAGAGGATGGTCCCAGCATTTCAGGAGGCAGAGCAAGTCTTCCCTCATGAGAACATTTTCTGAACACCTGCAGTAGACACCCACAGAAACTGTGGTTTTTTTCTTGCCTTAGTACTTAGATGTGAATTTTTGAAGTGGCGTCAGTGAGTAAAGAGATTAACTGTTCTTACTAAACCTGTTAACTTAAATTTCTCATGAACTTCTGAAAGATAAGGAGGTACTTGTGGAGATGAATTCAGTGTGTCTTTTTTTTTTTGATGTCTAGAATTCTCAGTTTTTCTTTCCATATTGCTGAGTCTGTCAGTTTTACAAATGCAAAGAACACAAAAATCTGAGTTTGTAATGCTGTGCTGTTTTTCTTTACAAGTCGGCAATAGGAAATTGATTCGTTATTGCTATGAAGATGAGAGTTAGTGCATTGTGTTATAGCTTGAACTAGTCCTTTGCTCTAAAGAACTTTTCACTTGTGCGCGTGCAGTTCAAGCCCCACAGGATCTTTAATGCAGTACTTTTGGTAGTATTGAAGCTGGAGCAGTATCTAGAGGGATGATTTAATGACATTTAAATTTTACGTTTCCTTTGAGAAAGAATTTAAGTATTTTGAGGCTTACATAGAAGATCTTGCTAATTAAGGCAGATCTAGGAGTTGTAATATCATCAGACAAATCTGTGATTCTGCCATTACAAGATGTTTTGTTCCATTCGTTCTGTCTTTGCTTGTGTCGTGTTAAGTTGGGTTCTATTTGGCTTGTGCTGCTTGACATGTTTTTGAGTATCAGTCTTGGTGAATAAGTAGCGTTTTGTGGTTGAACCATGATTTCATGCACAGTAGCATCTTGGAAGAGAAAGTAAGTTTTGAACTGCCTCTGTCCTCATCAGTTACCGCGCTGACATTTTTCCATAGCTGATAGTGGATTTTAAGACCCTACAGATTGGTTTTGTTAAAACTAAGGTCTTTTTTTGAATCAAACTTAGCTGAAAGTGTCTTTGTTTCGGTTAGTATTAAAAAAGGAGATGACACAGGACTTCAAAGAGCAGTCACTTTCCTTTTTATCTCTAAGAATGACAACAGTAAAAGGAATTGTACTATTCCTTTTGTATTTTCGTTACTAGATTATTGCATCAAGGCTGAATTATTTTAGAGGGGATGGCTGTGCTTCCTGAAAACGTTACTTTTTAAATGGGATTCATAGTCAGAATTGTTTGCCACATGGATATGAAGACTGCTGTGTTTGATCTTGGGACACTCCAAATATTCACCATTTAATGATGGCTGTTAAAATACGTGGTTTTTTGTTTTGTTTTTTTTTAAATCTCAGCATAAGCTTTTCTGGTATGTATTCTGTGAATAACCAGTCATCTATCAAAACATTTATTTGTAGACACCGTTTACCTTTGGCTTGGGCCAGAGGGCACCATATGCAACTGGCGAGCATTGTCTTCTTTGTAGAAGTGAACGAAAAGATAGTTCGCTTTCAGAGAGCGGATTAAAAAATTCTAGCAAAACAGCACTTTCCACATCTCCAAAAGCAAACAATATGCTGCATCTTCCACTGTGGGTGTGTCCAGACTGTCGACGAACAGTCGAAAAGGAGGAGAGACATGCTACAATAGAGCAATCTCTTATGGTAAGTTGAAGTACTTCAGTTCAGTAGGCTAAGAAGGTATGTTGTTATGGGCTGAATGCTACTTTGTGCTTTGGAACGACTTAAACTGTAAAAGCTTTGAAAGTATTTTCGGAGATCTTGAGTTGGCTTTCCTAAGAGCTAAACTGAACAGGTAAGTTGTTCCAAAAATGAGGAGTTCTGATTCTAAGTTTTGGATTTTTGAGTAGAGCAAGGTTTGGATTTGTTTCTTCTTGTTTTTTTTCCTCGTTCAATTTATTGGATCTCATACTTTGTCCTTTCCATCTTTATTTAAATTCCGTTTCATCTACTATTACCAATGCAACTTTAATCATTACACTGTTTTTCTATTCTCTGTCTGCTCATGTGTACTTACCCCCTTTGTGAGGTAAACTAACTAAATATTCCTTATTCTTTCAGTAGTGTTCTTGAGTCACTGCGCTTGCACTGCCAACTTCCTGCATGTGTCTGAGTTTAGTCGTATTTTCCTTCTTGTTTATTTTAATAAAGAAGCACAACTTTGCAGAGTATCCATATAACAATTTGTTATTCTTCGTTGCGGCACTGCAAACACTGTTTTAATACATGATGCTAGTATTTCAAGTTATGAATATTTTCTAAATTAAGTGTTAAAATGTATTTTTAAATGGGAATTCAGCCTCACTTAAGAGCTGTGCTCAGTGTAGCAGAAAGGTACAAAAAGTTCATTGACAATTCCAGCAAAACCCCATTAGAAGTAAACTACGATGCTGTACTGCAGAACCAAATCTTCACAACTGATTTGGGAAGCCACACACTTCTGATAATTGGAAGTATTATAGATTCCAGCTGACATCTCCTTGTAGAGAGCTAACAGACTGTGCACATGCCCGTAGGCACATACAGATTTGTATTTCAGTAAACAAGTCAGTGTGAAGAAGGATTGTCTTTGTATAGCATATGTTGTTGAACTCATGTTAAAAGCACAGTTAACATCACTTCTTGTAAGGAAAATTTAAAAGTAGATCACTTGTATACAACTAGTGTTTACTAGTATTCTTGCTATTAACAAGGGTTAGTAAAATTAATCAACAGAGATTACATCTAAGGGAACTATACTGGTAGTCTGATGGTAAACATCCTAGAGAGTTCAAAGCATAGCAAGACTGAAGCACATTATTGTTCAGTTGAGTCAAAATTTTTGACATGTTTAAGCTCTGTTTAAAGAACTGGTAAAGAAAAATAAGTGTCCTACAAGTGCAAGGAAGGCAAGATTTGCTTCCTAAATGTTTTTTTAAGTTATAGGTACTGAGATAGAATAAAAATTGACATTTTTTTCTTATTTGGCAATAGTTCTCTTATTTTAAGAAGAATTTTCAGAAGTAAACAGCAAAAGAATTTTCCAATTTGGGAAACCTGACGTAGAAAAGTGACTAAATGGATTAGGTGGCTAGTGAATTTAGAGAAACCAGCTGGGAAAAAAACCAAAATGAGCAAACAAAATCTGTTATTAGTCACTGCAAGCCAGAGTAAAAGTAGTTTGAGTAGTTTGCTCTAGATGCTCCTGTGTTCAGGTTGCTGTTGCTCTCATTATCTAGCTTGGTTTGCCTCAGCACCATCCCCAGTAGATGGTCTTGCTGTTGGCAGCAAATGCATGCAAGTTTGTTTTGAACCTCTGTCGGCTCCCTGCTCCAGAACCTGGGGAGAAGCACAAAAAACCACCCTTCAGTCATGCTCCTAATGTGGGAGAGGTGCCACAGAAAGCTGATGCCAACCTGGGGAGGGTGCAGGAGGGAAGCATGGTATGTACTGGGACAGGAGCACAGAGAAGGAAGAGAAACCGGAGACCAAAACACCAGCAGCCTTGGGAGAGAGGTTTGTGTCATCTGCTAGTACTGAGCAGCGCTGTATGCAGGCGATAGCATCCCTTCCCAATGGCAGCAGCTTTCTAACATCCATTACTGTGAAGTAGTATGTCTGTCTGTTAGAAACAAGGAGATTTTATGCTTTCTGCTGGAGGGGGTTGTTGAACTACGAAAGTCAAACATACTGTCAAATACAGACTGAAGAGATATTACTAGTTTATGATTAATCATGGATGATGCAAGCCTTCCTTTAGCTTAGTTCTTTGTTATGCTGGAGTACATAAAGGTGATAATTATAACCAACATACTTTGGTTGTTAGAAATGAAACTATATTTACTTCATTGGTTTTATCAGTCCATCTCTTGTGCTTATTAAGCTTTTTGAAGGTAAATTCTTTATGCCTGGTTGAGTGTCCTCCCAAAATACATTCAGCACTAAGACTTGCCATGTTGATATTTGCCTATCTATTAACATTTCAGACTTCTACATTAGAAACTGAAGGCTACCTGTGTTTTTCCTTTCAGAGCCAAGATTTCCTTTTGCACATGCCTCTTGGAAACAGTGGATCACAGCAGGAAGCTGTAGGAGGAGGAAGAATAACTGTTGGTGCACAGACGTTGCCTGCCACAGATCTTAGCAATTCCTCTCCTTCAGACATAGCATGCAACTGTGAGGCCTGTAATGAGCGCAGGTAAGAACTGAATTCAAACTCAACAGCGTAATGCCTGTAGTCAGGCTGTTGGCAGTGTTGTAGCTTATTTGTTCGTATATGCCTAAACTCTTAAACTGGCAATCTGACAATAACAGTAACTTACGGATGGCTGCTTTTATCTGATCTTTTACTTAATTTTAGGCATGTGCTTTACTTTAGGCATTTTCAGATATATGTTGTTTTTCCTGAAAAGCATCTTCAGAATAGTAGGAATCAATACACCTATGCAATGTACAAACAGACAGTAATTATTTTTGTCATTATTTGCAGAGAAAATTCAGCAGAGCCTGAACGTGAACCTCAGCAGCTTCAAAATTACTGGTCAGAAGTAAGATACATGGTTCGGTGTATATATCGCCAAGCTGGGACCCCTTTGGCAGATGACCAAGACCAATCTTTGGTACCAGATAAAGAAGGAATGAAAGAGCTGGTGGATAGGTATAGCAGTTTGAAAAATATTTATTTGTTGCTAAGACAACTTTTTAAATAGTTTGGAATATTGCTTTTTACTAGAATGTTACTTACCATCTGTAGGTCTGCTTGCTTGGAATGCCTCTCTACTATAATGAAAAGTCAGAACAGTCTGTTCTATTTCATGCAGCATTTTTAAATGCTAGATTAAATGCATGGGAAGCTATTAAATTCGTATGTTGTTTGCAATAGGAATGTTAATGTATAATTATGGAAGGTTCTTAAAATCTTACTCTTCAAAAGACCTTGAGATTATTGTTATTAATAAGATGCTATTTGGTTTGAATTGCCCCACATGAAAATCTTACATTGTCAGACTAAACGGAGTTATAATAGTGCTTGCGACTTACTGTGGTTGTAACAGCTGGAAGAGGCTTTTCCAAAAAGGAATATTGGCCATTTATCACTAGATGAGACAGATTCCAAGAACTTCTTTCTCATTTCAGAAGTTCAAATTCTGTTGTATAAAAACTGAGTGTTTGGTTTTGAGCATGAGTTGTGTACAAGTAGAGTAATATAGTATGCCTCCCTATTAGTCACACTTTGTTTATTTAAGTGATCAAAACATGCAACATAGGTTTTGACATCAAAGATACTTAAATGTTGCATAGTGTGTAAGTAATTAAAACTGAATCACAGCTAAAATGGTTGTTGATTTTCGTGCAGGTTCTCTTTAATGGAAGTATTTTGGAAATTGGAACACATACTGTGCACCTTTCTTAGGTACTAGGAGCTTTGACTTCTCTAGAACTGTTTTTCGCTTTTGAGAGAGAGTATTAAAATACAAAGGCAGAAACAGGATCTCAAAGAAGGAAACCTGAAATGTCAATATGATTACTTTTCATTGGTGTTCCTTATGGTCTCCAAAGTATGAAATAAAATCAGGATACTGTGTTTTGGCAGACATCAGTGTGTCCAGTCCGTGGTGCTGATGTCATGCAAAATTTTTTAACAAAGCGAGTCAATGTAGGTATTGGAAGTGTAAAAACCAACCAACCAAACAAAACCAACCAACCAAAGAAACAAAAGAAAAACCCAAAAAACCAACCCCAAACAAACCATGCCAAAGATTATGCAGTGGCCGAGTAAATCTATACATAAAAGGCAGAAATTCCTAATTCCATGCTCAGTTCTGTTAGACACAGCTGCAAGAAATGGACTGTCTGGTCTTCTTACTTGAAAATAAGTAGTGGTGCCAAGTACTCTCCTTACTGTATGTTGGAGCACTTTATGGCAAGACGATAGTAGTCTGTCTTGTGAATTGTGAGGGAAGAGCAGGAATTAGATAGTAGCAGACTTTTTCTTCATCTAACTCTTAAGCATTTATCTAATCCCTTTCTTCTTCCACACCTCCCTGCACTGTAAAAAACCCAAGGCAAGTGCTTAAACTGCATGCACAGGACTTCAGATAGTACAATTTCACTCTGAAGTGCTTCAAAGCAGCCATCGTACTCATTTTTTTTTCTGTGTGAGATGGTTCAAACCCACATCTCGCTTCCAGGAGAGTGTCAGACCTAGCCAGCTGTATGCCGGCCTTAGCAGAAGCCCTGACCCTCTTTGTCACTGTGAGACAGACACAGCTTCAAGTCTTGCAGGTATGGAGAGGCTGAATAGAGTGCGTAGAGGGCAGTGTCGTTCTAGAGCTTCAGTGTTAGTGTGCTTCCCTGGGACAAATGAGTCCCAAATTCTTGTCCCTATTCTAGATTTAAAGAAAAAAAAAAACCAAAACCAACCAAACAAAAAACCCCACCAATCATTATAATGATTGCCGCTGAGGTGCTACCACAGTAGAGTGCCCTAACTTGTGTTCCTTGAAGGATGTTCTTTGTGGCCCTATGAATCGCACGCCTCTGCTATGTAGTGGCACAGCTTTAATAAAAGGTGCAAAAAATGTCCTTGTACAGATCATCTGCAACTTGGGGTAAGAAACTCTCAATGAAGGTCAGAAGGAGTTTCGTAAATGAGTGTCTTAAAAGCTTGGTAATTGTATGAAATGTCTTCTTTCAGTTCAACAGCAGAAGGGGCCCCAAAGCAGTCACCAATTCCAGTCTGGTTAGTACGTATTTAGGCATGTTCTCGCTGCCAAACACGTCAAGTTCCTTCAGTGGCTTGAAGTAAGAAAGACCCCTGTCTTTCTACGGGATATTGATCGGGCCTAGGTGTGGCTGTTCCAGCTGGGACATTTGTTAGGGCTGTATATAAGAACATGGAGAAGTTGTAAAGAAGCTTGTCTGAAGAGTCTAGGTGTCTGTAGGGTTGTATGAAAATTGAGTAAAGGTTTTTTAGCTCACGGGTTGAAATGAAATACTGAGGTCCTAATTTCTTTGTTTCTTGGGTGTGCAAACATCCTAGTCCTAAAGCCACACAGGAGCTCAGTTCTGCAGTGTGAAAGTAGATAAGTGGACTCAGTTCTTCCAGATTTTAGAGTAGTTCTGTAAACCCTAGCCTTTGTTTCTGTTTGGCGATGATGATGGTAACTGGTAAATATTTTTAGGAAAGCAAAAATTGCTGATTACATGCTTTTCTTTTTTGGTCACAAATATTCTAAAAATACAGGCTTTGTGAAAGAGATCCATATCAGCTTTACCAACGGTTGGAACAGCAAGCTAGAGAATATGTGCTTGAAATGAAGGTCCGTCTGCTCAGACACTTGTCACTGGGATCTAAAGTTGCATCAACATTAGCAATACAGGGGCCACCGCAGGCACATCAGTTCATCTCACTCCTGCTTGAAGAATACAGTGCACTCTGCCAGGCAGCATGTACAATCAGCGCCTTTCTAGTTACTCTGGTAAGATAAGAAATAACCTATATGCTTTAACTTGCTAGGGGTGATGCTAGCAGAGCTGTCCTGGGCTCTTTTAGGTGTCTTCTGTGGTTTGTAAAATTTAAGGGGTTTTGTGCGTGCGTGCTTGGAGACACGGATATTCTGAAAATGCAAATTTAGTACTTTAGAAATGTAGATTAGGCATCTCTTACAGTGAATTGATGAAATTACCTTTAGTTTGTAAAGCAAAAGATGGGATGCTGTTTGTGGCACTTAATTCTGAAACTAATTTTTAAGCAGATCTACAAAATTTTAGATAATGCCTTTGACAATGTGTGAAACATTTCTCTGTTAATCTTTATTGGTCTCTTGACGACCATGTTTAAGGGACACAAACTTCAGAGTGCTCTTGCCTTGGAATTAATCTCTTATGTTATTTACTGTTTCTAAAGTTCTTGTTCTTTCTTAAATGCTTTTTTTATTGTTAGTTGATTGTGGTGTTAGACTTGGGATTGTATTGTCAGGTAGAAAATAAACAATATCCTTAAAAATCTTTTCTTGAATAACTGTACATTGTGAGTAATACAGTAAACAAATTCTGTGAATTTATTTGTTTAAGGGCTGAGAAGATTATTAATCCTGTTTTGTTAATAATCCTTTGCTATACATCCTTTGTTAATGTCCTTATCCTGTATGTCCCATTTCTTGTGTAAACTTTGTGTAAGCAAAAAGAAAGTGGATAAACTGTTAAATTTGGGTTTTATTGCTAATTAGCTGAAAGTGACTGTCTAGGTACATAAAGGAAAAGGACAGGCAGTAACAAGACCATGATGGCCACAGGTGAGAAGGATTTGAACAGGGGAGCAGCAGAGTGTCCTTACTGAGATGGGGCTGTTAGTAAAATTGGATTGGCAAAGCAAGAAGATGTTTCTAATAAGAAACTTGAGCATATCTGAAGCTTTTTTTCTGTTGTCAGTGCTCTGTATTTGCTCTTGTCTGTATTGTCTTCTCCAGCTCTATCGCTTAGTTGCAGATGTGAGGTCACTGCCATCTCCAGTTTATAATAACCATCAAGTCTCTAACAAGGTGCTTGAGAGAAGATTGCTCTTCGGGTTGGTTTGCACTGGAACTTAGAAATTTGTTCAGCTGAAAAGTGGGTGGATTACAGTAGAAAAGTTAGCTTTCTTAAATTAGATCCGGCAATAATGAACCCATTATTACCAGAATTACATAGCTGATCAGAAAATAATCTTTTAATATTTTTCCCCCAGTTATTATTGTGAACTAGTAATCGTGTAAACTTAGCAGGTATGAGAGACTGAGATAATGGCCTTGAAGAGACAGAAAATTCTTGAACTCCCTAATTTACCCCTTTTCTGACAAAATTCAAAGTAAAATAAAATTCCTATTCTCTTGTAAAAAAACAAAGCATAAGAAAACACAAAATACCCCAGACTTTTCTTGTCTTTTTCCTTCTGCAATCCAGTAAGTACTGAAAACTTCTTTCTACTAAGCTGTGACATTGAGAAATTGAAATGTGAGAGTGTAGGATACTGTCTTTTGTTATACGTTTCTTAGATTTATTAAATAGCCTTTTTATTAAAAGGAATAGTATGTCACAACTGTCATTACAGGTAGTAGGGTCACTAGCCTTTTCTGTGTGCATGGTGGTTTTCTCAAGATACCAGTGCACTATTGAAGAAAGAATCTTTTCAGCTGAAATACATAAAAGGTAGTCAAGATCTCTAAACTTGGTGCAGCCTTCCTTTTAGAGGTAAAACCTTTGCACATACAGTGCTGTACAACGGCATGTAGTGCCTTGAACCTCCGCCTGTGAGGAACTTATTTCTCAAAGACATTATGAACAGTTGTCCTTCTTTTCAAAGGAATCCTGCTAACTAGTGAAGTTCAAGAGCAGGACTAAAGCCTTGTGCCCCACCAGGGAATGACAGATTATATTGAGAGCAGGCTGGAAAGACTGTGGTCAGTAAAGAAGAGCACTTGAGAGCATAGTATAGCAGACTAGAAGGGAACATTTAGCTTGTATTTCCTTGAGAGATATCGTACTCTGCACAATCTGATATACAGGATTTTGTGGATAAGTGTTGACTGTTTTGTTTACAGCGGAATGTGGAAATTGCTTAGGAAATCAATCTTCCTCAGTGTTGACCCTTGATAAATTATTAGCAATTTATAGAAATTTAAATATTTTGAAGACAGTATTCAGAGTGAAAGGGTACGCATGTCTGAAGTCAAAAGAAAAAAAAATACCCAAAACCACCTACCCTTATTAAATAATAAAACTTCAAACTTGATTCTTTTTTTTTAATACTGATAGTCTCATGTCGAAGTCTGATATAAATGTGTTCGGTTTTTAACCCACTATACTTAACGAAACTTTGAAATTCCAGAGTATTCTGGTATTTGTAGGTACTCGAGGTCATAGTGCATAGGGCTCACTTGCTGATCTGATAGCCAGAACGCTTACATTTAATTTTGCTTTGTGGATGAGTCCTGGTATAGAAAACCTGCCTACTGCTGGCTATATGTGGGAATACGTAGTGACTTGAAAAAGTATTATAGCTGTCTTTGATTCTTATGTTTTGATAGTAATAGATTTAGGTTTTAGGCCTTGAAATGATATACAATTATGTGTTTAATAGCCTCAAATAAAAAAGCATTCTGCTTACTAGAGAAGTAAGTTGTTGGTTTAGGAAACTTTGTTTTTGAAGCTGTACTTGAGGAGAACTGTTTACTGGATTTATGTCAGTCTTGAATAAAGATTATAGCTTGCCATCATATATATGTCTGTTACTAGCTAAGTTCAAAGAACTGAAAAACAGAGGTAGACAATTGTTTGACAAGAAAACTTGAGAGTAACTGGTTCAGATAATAAAATACATGTTTCAGTGCAGAAACGAATGGAAGCTTTCAACAATGTATTCCGATTTTTCTTTTTTTTCGCGGTCCATGACAATTTAGAAAAACAAGTAATGAAGCTATGGGTATTGAAGTCATCAAAGATTTACCTAAATTCTGAGTTTCTAGGTATTAAAACTGGGTAAGATCTGAGCTGGATCTTCCAGCCTGTAGATTGGAAACTAGATATAAAAAAAATAATTAAAAAAAAAATTCTTACCTTGGAAACATTTTTTTTTTCTAACCCTAGTTTATTTCTGGTTGTTTTCTTGTTATAGGAAAATGAACATTTAAAGAAATTTCAGGTGACATGGGAATTGCACAATAAGCATCTGTTTGAAAATCTGGTATTTTCTGAGCCACTCCTGCAAAATAGTTTGCCAACGTTGGTGTCACAGTTAAGGTAGAGTTTAACTTTTCTTTTGTAATTTAAAAGAGAAATGAAGACCCATGTTTGCAACCACAGCATTAAAAAAAAATATATATAATTCACTGCTGCTTTCACAATTTAATAGGTAAAAATCCTTGTGGATCTGTCTTGAAAACAGTATCGTTGATTGAGCAGGCTGCTGTCATAACTTGCTTGTTGGAAGAATTACTACCCTAATCTGCTTACTTGTAGGTTGCCTAGCAAAATGACAGCATCCTATGAAAATGCTGATAGTGTGACTGAATAGTACTGTTCTCGCTTGTCATCGGTCATTGCTGCTGTCTTTACATCTCTACAAGCAAATTAAAGCCTCAGTGCCTTCATTGCCTCCCACAGTGCACGAAGAACTTACTTTGGACAACCTTTTCATTGGAGAAAGCGAAAGAAACAAAATCCCTTGCCTATGTGGTTGTAGGTCTGATGCCATATTGCGTTTCCTGGAGCTTTAAAATGTATATTTTGTTAGCAAGGTTACTCTATCTATAATTTGTAATACCTGAAAAGTGTTTGGGGTTTTTAGGGAAGAGGTATTAATTCATAGATATTTTATTCTTTATCATAAATCTGAACATTTGTTAAGTACAGTCACAGATGGTTTGTGTTGACCTCTCAGTCTTGTTTCTGATGAAAAGACATTTATGCTCTGTGTACGTGTGTATTAAAGGTATTGTCTTAGGTATTTTTCCATGCTCCATGCTAAGAGCAGTTTGGTTAAGTCTGTCGCAAGTGATGTTGCTCACAATGAATGAAGAGATTTGTGATGAGTCCTCCTTTTGCTAGTATATGCTAGAAAGGAAAGCAAGAAGACAAGAAAGCTTAATTGTCACTAAGTTCAGCAAGAAGTCTAAGGTCCCTCAGAATAACTTGTCTAATGGGTTTACTTGAAACCGAGTTAGTACTGAAAGCTTTGCCCTCCCCCCCTCCAGGAAGGTGGTTCTGTTGCTGTGTTCAGTAGCATGTTGTTCAATTGCGTATTTTTCCAGGGATTGGTGTTTCACTTCCCAGTACCACTGTCACTGACACCCTCTCCCTCGGTAATCTCCATGCTTTCTGACACGGCTTCTTGGCATCTCTTACTCCATCAATCCTGTCTATATCTTGACTGTTGTTATTGCCTTCATCTGCAGAGATGAGAGTGGTCTTAGTGAAGACATTTCTGAACAAAAGCATTGGATTGTTTTCATTTGCCTGTTGTTCTGAAGTGCTGCTGCAATTAGTCTGAGCAACAGGAGGTGTTTCTCTGCACAACTTCACTGTAGTGACAGCTACCTTCAAGCCTTAAATACAATGAAGTCGGAATCTCTTCCTGCAGAAATTTCTTTTCCAGTAGGTCTGTGTTTGCTAAATAGCTTTAAAGGTGTTTCACATGAACTGTAGTTGTGCCTAGATTGATTCACATGAGCCTTTTTGAAAGGAGAGGTTCAGCACAAGTTCCTGTTCTGTGGTTTCTGTTTTATATAGTGTATGTCTTGTTTTTCTTTGGTAAACATAGATTACTTCTGTTTTCATGGACTCCTAGGATTTTACTGCTGAGTTCTATAGGTCTTGAAGAGAATTAGGTAGGCTTCACTGAGAAATTTTTCTGCAGAGTAATGTGCCTTCCATTGGGAATTGGCAGGGAATGTTCTGTCAGAGCGGCCTCACGTGGAGAAGCAGGGATCAGCCTAATCCCCTGACCATTTGGGCAGTAGAGAATCATTCGCGTGCAGTACAGAAGGTGTTGCCAGAGTTTCTTTGCAAAAGAGCATTGGTCTCATTGTTTTCTTTTCCTGAAGAAGAAATGTTAAAGGGTGTTTTGGCATCTCAGCTTCACTTAGATTTTGCGTGTTCATCCTTTCACTCATCTCATATTTAAATCACTAAATCTTTGTGTATCTCTGGCTTTTTCAAAATATATAGTTAGTGTGCTGTGATTAGTTCCAGGGATTCTTGTCAGATGTCAGACTAGAAAAGATGTTCCTTTCCGGATCTTTAAACGTAGCAGTCTTGTGGGGATGGAGGTTACTAGCTGATACGAGATCAGCTGTGTCAGTATTTTGCAAGACTGGTCATCTACTCATGGTAAACCACCAGGGTCTCAATGCATTGTATCTTGTTCTGCTACCTAGTCAACACCTCAGGTTTGTTTAGGAGGCACACTCTGTTGTACACTCTGCAGACCAGCTGTAAGATCCATCCATATGCTTATCAAGAGTTACTTAATCAGCAGGGCTTCTAGATCAGGCACAGTATTTCATAAGGCTGTATCTTCATAATCAGTAGCTAACGAAATCCAGTCACCTGCTTTTCACAGGTGAGTGACTCGTACTTCCTGATGGAGGTGTCTATATGAAATGTTTCTTGGAGGTTAAATATCTTTCTTGGGTTAAGATGCTTTTGATTACGTGCAGCCACTGGCACACTTGCCTGCTACGTTCAGTAGACTACTTTAGTAGGGTCTGGTGATGAAGTAACTAACTGGTAGCCTGGAGCTTTTCTGCCCCCTTCGCTTTCCCTGTATGGGATGGACAGTGCTCAGGGTATATACACAGCTTCGGTTAAATGCCGTAGGCCAAAAAATTCTGGGTTCCTGATCAAGATACACAGGCGTACAGTGGGATCTATGTCAACAAGTCTGCTGTGGAAGATTCATTTACTGTAAAGTAAACAATTCTTGTTAATTTTTATATATGTGTGACGCTTTTCATACCGTTTTTTACTGCAGTCCAGGAATATATTCCACCTGTGTTTACAGGACTGAAATATTACCTAGATTGTTGCTTTATACGTGCCTTGGGGCGTGAAAGCATATTTACTAGTAGAGTGTTAGCCTTTACTCAGAAGTCACAACAAAAATTGAAAATGTAAAAGTTGTTGCATTGCTAATCTGAATTTAAAAAAGATGTTCTTTCTGCTTCTGACATCAGAGTGTATTTAACAAAGATTTTATGCACAACTAGTGTTTGAAAGAATAGTACTACTCAGCAGCAGTTATGAGAACAAATTCTTGAGTTCTATACAGTAGGGATCAGAATTTCACGTAATTGAGTAATACCAGAAACACGCAGTTCAAGAATAGTAGTAAATCATGATCTGGTAACAGGAACTGACAGTGTTTGCATTGATAGTGAGGAAGTGGTGTATCCTAAAGTCACTGCATCCCTCTAAACTGTGTTTTGTACTCTGGCAAGCATGGAATTATAAAGTTTTCAATGTGCAGAATTGCTTATGCACCGTTCTAAAGTGGCTGTGCTGCAGGTTCTGGGCAAAACCAACAAAATAAAACAAAATTGAATTTATTGGCAAAGTCATGCTAATGGCTGTAACTTAATGTGTGTTTGCTCAGCTCTTCATTATACTTAATTGCCACATTAAAATTAAGGGCTCAGTTCTTTGCCAGATGATAGGCAGGACTATGTACATCTTAGGCTGGGTTAGCATCCTGTTGCAGTGGAAGTCTATAACAAACCTCCTTGAAATGCTGGAACTGGGCTTTAAATGTCAGGTTTTGAGATGCTTGAATTTATGTTTTTTCTGGCACTGGCGTTGACTGACCACCCAACCTCTGTGTTTAATTAACTACCAACCAGTTTCCTCTTAATTTTTGAGTAGGAGAAATGTTGAAAGGCTTCAGTTTATTTGTGTCAGTTTACAGGTCATTAAAACTCAGTGTGCTTTAAACACACATTATCTAATAGAATTTTGTCTCTTTATTTATTTCTGTAGTCAAGACTTCGGGAGTTTGCTTATTAAGGGTCATTGTGATGGTGCACTCTAATCAGTTTTTAAAGGCATTTGCTATGCAAAAATGTAGTAGTAGAAAGGAAGGTAAATCTCTCCTATTTCTGAGACTCCTTACAGAGAGAGTCATCAGTGAACAGCATAACCACGTTTTGAACTTGATGCCACTCATGTGATAGTAGATAACTGCATGTAACCAAATTATCTCATTTGCCTCATGCTACGGCACTTTTCCCAGCTGGAACTCCAACTTGTCAAGTAATCTTTTTAGCATTGATCATGAGAGTTGTGATTAACAAGCTTCTGGCTTAATTTTTACTATATAGCTCCTCAGTAAATAGTCAACATGTATATGTAGCTGTCAGAATTTGGAAGGATAAATATATCAGGCAAGAAAATTTGAATAAATACGGCTCCGTAGGTTTGACATCTGGTTGCTTGTGGGAAAGAGGCTCTAGAAATGTTGCACTTCCCACATTCTTGCTATTGTTGGTTACAGAACATTGGAACAAGCAGTTGTTGGGTATTTTTTGAAAAATTACTAAAAATACTCAGTTTTGGGATACAAGCAGCCGTGTGGGCCTAGGTGTTTCAATAACTTCACTTTAACAACACTTTTTTGGTTGGCGGAACTTAAAAGTCTGATTTTTTTCGGTGAAATGTCTCTTCTATAACAAGCACTGTTTGAACTTTTAGGCTTGGAACAACACACGATTCCTGTAGTGAAGATATGTATAGTACCTTGCTACAAAGGTATCATCAGCTGGAGCAGGAAATGGGTCAAGTTGCTGAAGCATGGCTTGAATGCCAGAAAAGAATAGATGATTATGTTGATGAACAGGTAAGAATCATGTAAATGTAAACAGTCTCAAGAATGATTATGTAGGGAGCAGCCCATGCAAGGCTCTGCCTCCAGTGAAGTTTCTTTGGTGTTTTTATCCAGAGCTTTGAAACAACAAAATGTAACTTTTTTCATTGTTGTCAGTCTTTCAGAATAGAGAAGGACACTAACCTACCAATACATAATGGTGATCGTATAGAAATCTTCAAATTGTTGAAGCAGATTGTTGTGCCATTGTTTAGAGATGATCTTTGAACATTTTTGTAATTACTTTAGCCTGTAAATTACCTATAGCATAGTAATCTGGAACTTTGTTGTGTAGATGTCACTAGGAAAAGGGGGGGGGGGGAACCCCACCCCACAAAACTCCCTAAACTTCCAAAATAATAATTGCACTAAATGAAATTCAGAGGAGAATAGATTGCTTTTAAAAACTATTGCGTGTTGCACAGTGTAATGGTGACCTTTGAACAACTGTCAAAACCAGAACTCCAGAGTCTCACTACGTAAATATTTGAGACCTCTGAAGTTATCCTTTTTTAATTAAGTATATGTTCTGACAGCTGATTCTTCTGAGTTTGTGCTACATTTCAGGAAATAATCATCATGTTGTGCTGACTCCTACATCGTCAAGAGCTTAATTTTTTGAAAAATAGCTGTTTATTTTGCAAGTGGTTGTTTATACTCTCCCTAAACTGCTCATGTGCTTTTTGTCTCATATTTAGAGAACTTGAATTTTTTTAAAACACCTCAGGATAAGTCTTTGAATACTGTTTAGTTCAATCTTAAGTATGTTAGAAGAAAGAATGTGTCTTGAAATAGTTGAAGATACAGAGCTTTATAGACCTTTTCATAGATTTTGAAGTTTTATGAGCATTAGGAATATGGAGATCGAGTTTGAGGTTTAGTAATGCTGTGTTACTCCTATAGATAACATGCATATTATAAAGTCTTACAGGACACTGTAAATGTCCTTCAGAAGCTGTTCCCTGTGATGAAGATTTAAGTGAACTTCTACCATTAATTCCAGTACTTTCGAGATGGAGACAGGACCTATCTGTTTTTAGAGATTGTTCTGTATTTAGGGTCTGCATCTGTGAGATATCAGCTAGAAAGTTTCCTCTTGGTCTGGCTGCTTTTGTGCACCTAAATATTTGATGGCAGCTCAGTAAAATTTCATCATCTCACATTTTGTGCTACTAGAAATCATTTTCCCCATGGTCTCAAGGTGTTGTGGCTGTCTGATGCTACCTCTCCAGTAAGAAAGGGAGCGGAGTTCACTTCTCATCATTCACTTCTTTTTCCAAAAGATGGAATTTCTTTAGTCACATTCGTATCAGGCTTCTGACTGGTTGATCTGCACCACTTCAAAATCAACTCTTCACTGATTTTTCTGCATTTTGCTGTATCAAGTGACCATGCAACTGCCACAGGTGTGGTCTTACACCATTTTTTTTATCTGCTCAGTGAAGCGTGTATCCTGATGCAAACAGAAACCCTTGTCCATTTGGGGAAGCTTAATATGATGACTTCTTATTTCCTAATGACCAAAAAAACCTGCAAGGGGGTTGTGTAGGGGAAAATTCTAAAACTTAAAGGAGATACTGATATTTTTATTGGTATTGATATGTAGAAAAAACATTTTCACAATCACGCCTTAAAACTTGTTTTGGTCCTAACCTGTGGTTATACTCTCTTGGTCAAAAATACATCATTCAGTGTGACCTTCTTACCTGAATTTGTGGTGATGTTTTTGTCAACAAGGTAGAAATCAGAAAGCCTGGCTACTATGGAAACTGTGGATCTTAACAGTCAATGCATGTTCATTATTTGCTGCCTCTTGGCTTAACAAAATGGTAAGGTTTCATTGCTAGTGTATCAACGGTTAGAACGCAGGCCATCACAGAGGAAGTTTTAAGTAATGGTCCTCATTTATCTGCTGTGGATCTATACCAAAAATTTTAAACGGGGCATCAGCAGAGATACATAATGGACCCTCCACTACGCTGTGTTATCTTGTCAGTAGCTTTTGCAAGCAATACCAGTACTACTTTTTTGAAAGACTACGTAAGACAGCTGTCATGCACAGACATGTAACTTAATACACTGATATACCATGTGTGTATGCTGTAATAAAATTTAGAATAAGAATTTGCTTGTATCGGCACCTGTATTCTTCACATGTTAAAATCTGAGGAAGATGTTTAGGGTATCTGGAATATAGGAGAGTTTAAGTGTATGCAGCTTGTACCTTCAGATCCTGTTATTCTTACCAGATTTAGACTACATTTAACTTAGGAAGTCCTGAATATATCTGGATCATTTCCACAAGTAATGGCTAGATAGTCTTATGTACTTGCGTGAAAGCATGAATGCCTTTGACTGGCTCCATGAGAAGCCAAGGAAAGCTTCTTGCTTGTCTGTCCATATGCATACATAACTTCTTTAAAAAATATTTTGTTTTTACAGTCCTGGTCAACTTAGTAGATAAAATAGTATTGTACAGGCATAATTGTTTTTTGTCTTTATGGTGGCTGTATAAATAATTGAAACACTCACTATTTTTAGGTGCTGAGAGTTTGTGATAAGAGGAATTATTTTTATTACTTCTGGTGAAACAGGGTAGGAAAACGGGATTCACAGGTGGAATCTGGGTTGTTCAAATGTGCTATTCACATTTGATACAGAGTTTAAAATTTGGAAGCAACAAGTGTCCTGTGATGTATGTATGAACATCAAAATTCTCACAGGTGATCTAGAGGTATGTGTCAGTTCTGACCAAACTGCCGGTTTTGTTTCATGATTAAATCTATTTCAGAATGTCTTGTCTGATGGATCTCAAATAAACAGGGATGAAGAAAGAGGGTGCTAGTGGACCTCTCTTCTCTATTGGGCAGCAGTGGTAGCATATTTGTTGCAGATGGGCAAGACTGAAGAGTAAATTTTTACTTTTGATGGCATTTGAATTTTTCTCCCACTCCCTAGCAGAATTCTTGGGCATGAATCGTGTGGTTTCCATTGCAGCTGCTTTGCTCTGCTGAAATAAATATTCATTGGGGAAAAGAAAGAGGAGAGAGAATTCATTGCTTATTATTTATGGAATTAATAACTTAAGATACTTGCAGACACAGAGTACTGGAAAAGCTGCAAAGCTGGAAGTAGGAAAACTTCGGCTTCAGCCCCTGTTCCCACCAATACTCAGGAGTACCAAGACTTAAAACGTGCTGGTTTTTTGGACAGTTTCTTACCAGGCTTGAGTAGGCAGCTTCCAGTTAATGCACTGGCTGTTTTAAATGTCATTCTTTGGCATTAAAGTCTTCTTTTATAATGTATAGTGAACATAGGTGCCTGTCTTTGATGGTGAGGATTCAGCTAGGTGACAGGGCAACTAAACCAGTGAGTGTTGCTGTGTGTAAGTATAGCTTGAGGGTGCTCAGAAGCCGATAGTACAGCCAGGGTGAAATTTCTGATGTTCTTGGCTGCAGGCTCTGCAGTACCTTTTAGTGTGACAAAGGAACAGTATCAATGGTTCAACAATATTTCATGCATACTTTTTTTTAGGAAAAAAAACCCAAACGTGCACATGATAAACTCATTTTTGGTGTTAGTGTAACCTCACTGAATCAAGGAAAATCAAAATCCACAGTAGTAATTAGAATTACATACTGCTGATTGTTTCAGGAATTCATTAGGCAAAATTTTACCACTTAATACTGTTTCAAATCCCCAGCTTAGAATTTTGTTTTAAGTTAAAATAGTTAAATAATGATAGTAGCAATAACACACGTAGGTTTATAGTAGGACTTTAAACTTTTGATCAAGTATGAATTTCTGGAGGCATGCTTTTGAAGAAAGAAAAAAAAAGATTGCTAGTGGTGTAACCTACTGGACTTTGGCTCACCAGCATAACTTTATGAAGCAATTTGTTGTATTCTATAAGGTAGTAGATTTTCTTTTTTATTAATGAGGTAAATGAAAAGAACAACTGTACAAGATAACCTATATAGTTGTTTTTCCTCACTGATGAAGTCGTGCTCTTAAAATGCTGTAAGGTATAAGAAGAGAAGTTTTGTTCTTGCATTTTGCTGTGTTAAATTCGTGGAAGCTTTTGTGTTCCATCGGAGTGTATTTATTTACTAAATCAGAAAAATGTCATTTGTGTACAAGAAGTTAGGGGCTCTGTGTGCATTTATGGTGATGTGATTCAGGGATGAGTAATTATAAAATATTTTTCCAGCCTTGGCTAGATCATGGGCCTGAAATACATTGAGGAATAAAAGTGGTAAAGAGTGTTAGTCTAGGCTGCTAAATTTTGTTGAGTCTTCTCATTTTTTTGACTCTTTGATTGGGTGGTTAGTTCCATGTGTGTTACATCAGAGTTTGCACTTGAGCCTGTGTTGAGGCCTCACTGAAAGTCCTGTATCTCTACATTTTAATGGATTTTAGTGGATCTTAGATGTTGAGGATTTAATGCCAATGGAAAATGCTATGAAATTATTTAATGAAAAGAAATATTAACATAAGGAATAACAGTCGAAAAATCTGACTGAAAAATAGTGTAAATGAATATAAAATCTAAGTGACTTAAATCGAATGATTAGCAAATAAAATAGACTTAGTAGTAACTAAGTATGTAAGTACTTCCAAAATAGTATAGACAATCTAGTTTTAATGAAACTGAGACAAACTGACAACAGCATAGATTTTCTATGATTAAATCAATGAGTTTTCCTTAAATTCTGTTTTAGATGGCAATGAAAACAAAACAACGCATGCTAAAGGAAGACTGGGAATTTTTTAAACAGAGGCGTTTTATTGAAGAGCAGGTAGGATTTTTTTCATATACCATACTAATTTATACTAATGCTTCATGTATATTTGTAAGATGCAAACATAGGAGTGTAGTATATTGTACTAGTTCTGTGCAATCTAATGCAACTATGCCAGACGTGAAATTTGGTCAGCTAAAATACAGAAAAGTAAGGTCCAAGAAGAGCATGTAGTAGTATGTAGTCTCAGTTACTACAAGCTAAAACCATAAGTCTTAGGACTGAATACCAGGTGTTAAAATTCTTTACACAATAAAAGGGGAATTTTTGGTGTCTTAGAGTGGGATCCAAAACAGCCAATGCATTGAGCATGGAGCTGCCTTGAGGTATGTGATAGGGAATGTTGTGTTCTAGAGTTTAACACATTCCCAAGTGTGAGCCACAGTAGCAGGGCAGATGATTGCATCTGCTATGACTCTGGAGATGGCTCCTACATCTGTTTCATGGGGAAAAGGCTGAACGGAACTATCTGCCTTTTTTAAGCTGGAGCCAGGGAGGGGCCGGTAGAAGTTCCTACCTTTTTATAAAACTACCTGCTGTTGGAGACACAGTATTCTCTTCTGTAGCCTAGAAGTGTTCAAATACGTATCATACTTTCCAGAAGAGCACAGTGTGATGTGGCTAGAGTCGAGGCTGGATGGGGAACTTATCTGTTCCTATACCACTGTGCAGAAAGAAATGCTAGTCATGAGCCAGAGAAAGAGAGAGTATGACAGTACATTTTAATAAACTTAAGCTTAAATTGGCAATTTCTCGAAGCAATCAGCAGTAAGTACTTTTTCCTATAAGGAACATAAGCCTGTGTTAACCATGTCTTTAGAACACCTGGTATACAGGGCTTCTCAGAGGACTTGAGAAAGAATCCTCTTTTTTTCTTGATCCTAATTAGGCTTAAGTTAGCTGTAAGCCCATGGCTGCTTAGGTGAGGATCAGGTCTGGGCATCTATAGAAGTGGAAGCTTAGGCACATCCTTGTTTAACCTAAGGTTTGTAGGTATCTAATGAAATTAGGTGCTTTCAGGATTAGGCCTCTGCCAGGTGGAGGTTATTTGGATTGTATTTTTTCACTAATGCAGTCAAGTCCTGTTTTGGGCAGCTACTTCATTCCTCGAATCTATTCCATTGTGGCTGCAGAATTAGTCGTAATTCTTTTTTGCAAGTTAAGGGTGGGTTTGCATCCTTTCTCCATTTGTCAGCAGTGTCCTTTTGTGTATGCTATGAAACAAGACAAGAACTGCTCAAGTTCAGAGTGCAGCAATACCATGCAAGATGCACATACCAATGAGTCAAGGAGGCGGACTTGGCCACTTTACTGTTTTGTAGTAGAAACATACTTGCTTTGAAGAGTTTCAGTGCCAAATGTTTGTTGTTTGTAGCTTTGAACTTATTCCATTTTTCACTCATGATCAAAACACCACCTTCATGAAAGTGTTCCGGATTATTCTGCTTTTAAAATATCTTGCCCAAAGAACCCTTTTTGATTATGTAATTTATTAATCATGATGTGCCATTGAATTGTTAATGGAAAGACTTGCACTACTAAAACACTGCCTTTATAATTTACTTCAGCTTAATAACAAGAAAGCACTAGCTGGGGAGAACAACTTCACAGACACAATGAGACACATGCTGTCATCGCGTTTGAGCATGCCTGACTGTCCCAACTGTAATTATAGAAGAAGGTGAGCTGATGTTTTCAATATGAAATCATAATAAATTGTTAATTTCTTGTTCAAGGAAAAAGGAAATACGTTATTGGAACAGGGAGTGTGGTTACTTTAAATGCTACTTAAACAAAGTCATAAAAATCTCTAATCTTAATTCTTGAACAGATGTACTTGTGATGACTGCAGCCTTTCACACATTTTAACATGTGGCATCATGGATTCTCCTATAACGGATGATATCCACATCAACCAGTTACCACTACAAATTGATTCTGCTCCGGATTATCTATCTGAGATCCGCCCACCCAGTATGTCTTCAGCAAGTTCAGGGTCAGGTTCCAGCTCGCCTATTACAATTCAGCAACATCCCAGACTGATCCTCGCAGATAATGGTTCTGCACCAGCTTTGTAAGTTTCTTTTTTTTTCTTTCTTAAAATTTTGTAGTGAGTTGAACTTAAGCAGGTAAGCTGCATTGGCTGACTGTAATTATGTAAGGCTAGTTTTGCCTCAAAATTATTTAATAATGCTACTGTATTCAGCGGACCACAAGTCCAGTGCTTTATGTTGTGCAAACATAATTAATCATAATAAAACATGTGAAGTTTAGATTTCTGAAGACATTGACTTAACAATGTTGCTACAAGCATGTGTAGTGTGTATTTTCCTGCTTTGGGAGTACAAAAACATGAGATACTGATCTACTTTAAAGCATCATTTTAAAATGTCACACTTTCTTAGACTGAACAAGGGAACTGGTGGTCTTTTCTTTGAGGGATGGTGCTTTCATATGAATCAGTTTAGTTCCAAAAAAAACCTTTATTAGGAGGCTTTTAGGATTGTTGAAGTTGTGTTAACTCGAGTCTTGCATCAAAACTTATTGCCCCTATCAGAAGTATCTGCCACCCTCTTTCTTTTATTTAGATCACAATGACTGTCAGATTTGAGGCATTAGTCTAATGGTAGACTTCTGCCCCTTCCGTGATTCTGAAGGGTTATAACTGCTTGGTAGGCTGGCTTCTGTATGTGGTCATGGTACAGCTAACCAGCAGTCTCCTCTGTCATGTGATATTCTAAAGGAATATTTAAAAAAAACCAACTTCAGTACTGGTGGGAACACTAATGAAATACCTATTGTCAGGACAGTCAAGGGAATTGGATTTAGCGTTCTGTGTTAATATGGTGTGATGAATGAGGACAGTGCAGACGCGTGGGACTTGCCCCTCCCCAGTTGATGGACTGCAAGATGGGGACCAGAGGGGCAAAGCCACTCCTGCTGTAAGGGAAGACCAGGTTCGGGACTACCTGGGGAACCGCATCATACAGAGGTCTATGGGATCTGACAAGATGCATCCCAGAGTCCTGAGGGAATCAGCTGATGTCATTGCCAAGCCACTCTCCATGATACTTAACAGGTCATGGCAAGTCAGGCAAAGTCCCTGGTGACTGGAAGAAGGGAAGGTGGAAGGGAGGACCCTGGGAACTACCGACCTGTCAGCCTCACCTCTGTGCCTGGGAAGATCATGGAACAGATCCTCCTAGAAGCTGTGCTAAGGCACGTGGAGGACAGGGAGGTGGTTCGAGACAGCCAGCACAGCTTCACTGAGGGCAAGTCCTGCCTGACCAACCTAGTGGCTTTCTAAGATGATGTGACTAGATCAGTGGACAAGGGAAGAGCTATGGATGTGATCTATCTGGACTTCTGTAAAGCCTTTGACACAATCCCTCACAACATCCTTCTCTCTAGACTGGAGAAATATGGATTTGATGGGTGGACTATTTGGTGGCTAAGGAATTGGTTGGAAGGTCGCAGCCAGTGGTCAACAGCTCAAAGTCCAGATGGACGCCAGTGACAAATGGTGTCCCTCAGGGGTCCATACTGGGACCGGTGCTGTTTAGTATTTTCATCAGTGAGATAGACAGCGAGATCGAGTGCACCCTCAGCAAGTTTGCAGACGACACCAAACTGGGTGGTGCAGTTGACACACCAGAAGGATAGGATGCCATCCAGAGGGACCTGAACAAGCTCAAGAAGTGGGCCTGTGTGAACCTCATGAGGTTCAACAAGGCCAAGTGCAAGGTCCTGCACTTGGGTCAGGGCAACCTCTGCTATCAATACAGACTGGGAGATGAAGGTGTTGAGAGCAGCCTTGCTGAGAAGGACTTGGGGATACTGGTGAATGAAAAGCTGAACATGAGCCACCAGTGTGTGCTCGCAGCCCAGAAGGCCAACCATGTCCTGGGCTGCATCAAGAGAAGCGTGGCCAGCAGTTCGAGGGAGGTAATTCTGCCACTCTACTCTACTCTGGTGAGACCCCACCTGGAGATTGCCCAGAGAGGTAGTGGAGGCCCCATCCCTGGAAACATTCAAGGTTGGGTTGGACGGGGTTCTGAGCAACCTGGTCTAGTTGAAGATGTCCCTGCTTACTGCAGGGTGGTTGGGCTAGATGACCTCTAAAGGTCCCTTCCAACCCAAAGCATTCTATGACTCTGTGTTTCTGATGAATATCACTTCACTAAGTTCAATTTTCTTTAAACATTTACTTTTGCATCTACTGTCATCGATGGCTTAATCTTCCATAACAGGACTTTAGTTTCTGAACTGGCCTGGGGACAGCTTGAGAACAGATTATGTGAGCATGTTTAGCTACGTATTCTTTAAATGTGTGGTTTGCAATTTCTGTAAACTCTCGTTAGTTTTGGTGCTGAAATGTCCAAAATTGTTCAATTTGCCTCTTCAAAAGCTGATTCAGTTAAGTCTGAGTATTATTCACTATAAAAAGCCTATTTTTGGGGAAATACCACTGCTCCTTGGGTAAAGGCCATTTTATGCCTCATAATATCTGCTGTGTTTTATTTCCTTGTTGCACATTTGAAATATGCCTAATGGTGCCATTGTTTAATTAAATTTTAGCGCAGTATCTCATGGAATGCAAAAAGATAACATGCACAATTCAAGAGCTCTTTTAAGAGCTCTGGATTGCTGTAGAAACATGAACTAACCAATCTTTGCAACACTTCCCTGGAGCGGGTAATTAAACATGCATGCTCTTTTAGTAGTTGTCTGTATGGAAAAAATTTCCATGAAGTATTTTGGAGCAGACTCCGAAAAGCACGTAGATGTGGGCTTGTCTAGGAACTAGTTGCTGTTGAGAAATTTAAGAGTTACTATGATGTGTTCAACATTGCCTACTTGCTGTTACTGGTTTGACGTTTAATGTATGGAAAAACTTAAGTTTTATATTGTGCTTGTTTCCTCTTCATACTTTCTGTAAAGGAAATCATTGGCATAAGGCTTTCTTCATCAAATTAAAGGTCATCCATATCCTGTCAGTATTAATTTGATAGATTCTTGGTCAGAACACAGTGGAGGAAAACAATTTTACACAGAAATAGCAGAGAATCTTATTTTTGATCAAGTCTGTCATTCAGGCATGCAACTACTATAGTGAGTAGGATTATATGGCAGGTTGCTTGATTTTACTTGTTTGAAAAAAAGAAAGACAATCCTTTGACTCCGAATTGGAACATTTATACGAGGGATGCCCTCAACCTTATTTCATTTTGGTGTTCTGGCTGCTTTCCCAATAACTGAGGTTACTGAGCACAGTGATTTATCTAAGCCTCTTTTCCCCTCAGCGGAAGCGATGATGAAGATGTTGCACCATTATCAGCAAAATTTGCTGATATCTACCCCCTGAATAATTATGACGATGCAGAGGTTGTAGCCAACATGAATGGAATTCACAGTGAGCTAAACGGCGGAGGTGAAAACATGGCATTGAAAGATGAGGTACGTCATTTACAGTGTCATACCTCTTTCTGACAGTTGAATTGGCTTGCTGGAGAAAGGCCTGTCCTTCACCTCTATGTTAATGCGTTAATGTTGTCCAGTCTCCTCAGGTGAGCAGTACTAGCAGCAGTTCCTCAGAAGCAGATGATGAAGAAGCGGATGGGGAGAGCAGTGGTGAACCACCAGGGACTCAAAAGGAGGAAATGTCTCTAGGAAAAAGGGCATTAAGGAAAGACGAAGCAAAAATGGATAGCCCACCACCGTCTTACCCCAGTCAGCAGGTACAGTAATCTAAAAGAAACTCGTTTAGTAAATTAACTTTTGAAATGTGGCTGCTTGAACAGTAATACCTTTACATCTTGAATTAAATATTTAACTTTTAATATATTAAGTTATCAGTAGGTAGATATGGTACCTAAAATATTTTTCAGGTGATTACATATTGGCTAATATCTTCCTGTAGTCAAATCACATAATCACAGAATGGTTGGGGTTGGAAGGGACCTCTGTGGGTCATCTAGTCCAGCCCTCCTGCCGAAGCAGGGTCACCTACAGCAGGCTGCACAGGACCTTGTCCAGGCGGGTCTTGAATATCTCCAGAGAAGGAGACTCCACAACCTCCCTGGGCAGCCTGTTCCAGTGCTCCGTCACCCTCAGAGAGAAGAAGTTCCTCCTCATGTTCAGACGGAACTTCCTGTGCCTCAGTTTGTGCCCATTACCCCTTGTCCTGTCACTGGGCACCACTGAAAAGAACTTGGCCCCATCCTCCTGACACCCACCCTGCAGATATTTGTAGGCATTTATAAGGTCCCCTCGCAGCCTTCTCTTCTTCAGGCTGAACAAGCCCAGTTCCCTCAACCTCTCCTCGTAGGGGAGATGCTCCAGTCCCCTCACCATCCTCGTAGCCCTCCGCTGAGCTCTTCATCTTTCTTGAACTGGGGAGCCCAGAACTGGACACAGTACTCCAGATGAGGCCTCACCAGGGCAGTGTAGAGGGGAAGGAGACCCTCCCTCGTCCTGCTGGCCACACTCTTCTTGATGCACCCCAGGATCCCATTGGCCTTCTTGGCAGCCAGGGCACACTGCTGGCTCATAGTTAACCTGTCGTCCACCAGGACACCCAGGTCCCTCTCCGCAGAGCTGCTCTCCAGCAGGTCCACCCCAAGCCTGTACTGGTGCATGAGGTTGTTCCTCCCCAGGTGCAGGACCCTGCACTTGCCCTTGTTGAACCTCATCAGGTTCCTCTCTGCCCACCTCCCCAGCCTATCCAGGTCACGCTGAATGGCAGCACAGCCTTCTGGTGTATCTACCACACCTCCCAGTTTGGTGTCGTCAGCAAACTTGCTGAGGGTACATTCTAACTCTTCATCCAGGTCGTTGATGAAGAAGTTAAACAAGACTGGGCCCAGTACTGACCCCTGAGGGACACCACTTGTCACCAGCCTCCAACTAGACTCAGAATGATAGCTTTTTATACATCATTAATGTTTTTTGTTGCTATATGTGGATATGTGTTTTATATGAATACAATGAAAATGGTGCAGCTCTGGGGAGGTGAGCGCACTTGTGTGCCTGTAATGACTGTAGTGGTTAGGCAGGTGTAGATACTTCTGTACTGAAGTCAGCATATTGACAGCACCAGGGCTATATGCATTAAATGCATTTATGTATGACTAACCTTCTACTAAAGCTGAATGCTGGGTCACACAGGGGAAATCAGATCACTTTATTTATCAACTTGATAATACATGTATTGCTTTGTTTCCTTGGTTTAAACAGAGCTAGTAGGCATACAAAATTATTTGACAGTATATATGAAATGCTGAATTACTGCAGCACTTGAATCTACTCTCTTAGATGGGACGCTGTCTCTTCTATAAATGCCAGTCTGCTTAGGGAGAGTTTTGCAGTTGTGCAGACACACAGCATCAAGCTCATGGATTTCTTGAGTTTTGATGATGTGTCACACAACCCCTGTGCAAACCTTCTGTTAAAGACTCAGTTTCACCTTTCCTTTATTAGTTTTGCTCTGGTGTTCGTCTTATCCGTCAGCTTCCTGGGATAAGCTAGTCTGAAAGTTCAGGACTGTGTCTGTTTATTTTGGGTGACTTGTCTTTCAAGTACCAGTTTTGGCCAAACTATCCACAATAGTAATTTTTAGAAATCCTGAGGATTTTCCAGTTCTGGCAATGCAGATAATTCAGAGAAAACATCTTCGCTTTTCCTCTAGCTTTCAGTCCAAAAGAGCTCTCGGGCATTGGTTCTGCTTGGCTCTGCTGCAGAAGAGCATGATGTTTTCTCCCTCTCGGTTGCTTCTGGGCTAGGATTAAATCAAGCAGGTGAAAAGTCATATATTTGTGTCTTATCTTCCTTATTAGATACACATATTTATCTAGGCACCTATGTATCTATCTGATATATGAAACCAAGCTACATCCCACTTTCCTTGGCTAAAAAAAGGGAGCACAATTTCCAATGGACTAAACAGAGTTCGTAAAAAATCTGCCACATTCACTGAACCTGGCAACCCCCCTTGCCCAGGCCCTCTGCCAGTTGTAACCATTTACTTTGAAGAGGAAAAAAGTCAAATCTCTTTCTGCCAGTGGCACCCATACACATCTCTGCAGCAGGAGCTGGTTTTGCTATCTGTGTCCTCAGGAGGCTTTACCAGCCGAGACGAGTCAGCTGTGTGGTCTTCCCAGCTGATGTCAGGGTGGTTGAAGTCCCCCATGAGAACCAGGGCCTGTGACTGTGAGGCTGCTTGCAGCTGCCTGTAGAAGGCCTCATCAACTTCCTCCTCCTGGTCAGGTGGCCTGTAGTACACACCCTGTCCCTTAATTCTAACCCATAAGCTCTCAGATCCTGAAATATGTTAGTTTTATTGATGGTGGCTGCATTGAAAGGGGAAAAAAAGTTTATTCCTGCCTGTATGAATGAGAAACAGAAACTAAGAAGCATTTCTGCTTGGACATTTGAGCTTGGTCTTTGTTAAATGTTATTTGAAATTAATTTGGAGCAGTGGGGAAATGATGTGAATACTTAATTAACAAAACATTTCTTACTATTACCTCTGAGGACTAACATTCCCTGAGTAAATCCTGTGTAGTTAAATCCATTGCATAACTTGTGGCATGGGTCTTGGGGTAATTGATTTTTTTTTAAGTGGTTTATTGAAAGGACACCAAACCACCCAGAGAATGAAGCCTAGAGTATCTGCTCAGCAGGTAGTGGTACCTAGCTGAGCACCAAATCAAAGCATCTGATGGACTTCTCTTTGTGACTGTGTGGCTTTTAATCCGAGTTATCCTGCAGATACAACACAGGCTCACTGCTTTGAGAGAGAACGTGCCAGTCGCTTTTATTGCTTATTGTACAAAAGAATCCACATCGGAGGGGGCACCTTTGAAAGCTTAGACGACAGTCAGGTGGGAACTCCCACTAGATGTTCCCCTGTGGTTAGGATGTTTGTAAGGCTTTCCACTAGAAGTATTTTCTCATGTGTTGAGAGTATTAAACTACTTTTCTTTTCAGCAAGTATGTTGAGATTTTTTTCTGTGTATGGCTGACCAATAGTATAGTACTTATACAGGCTGAGACCTCTATCAAACTAGTTTGAAACTGGTGAACAGATTCAGCATTTATTGTGGAAAATCAAATGAGATTATGTAAGTCTGCTTGCCTTAGGGAAACAAAATAAAATGCAGGATAAAAAGGCAGATTTAACCTTTCTCTCCTATGTTTTCTTTGAGGAAAAAGATTTTTCTCAGAATTGTTCTAAGGAATGCTTGATGGCTTTTCTTTTAGCCTGATTTTCTGGTCAGAGCTGAGGATCTACCTTGTAATGCTGCATTCAAGTGATTAATTTCACTGGCACTTTTTTTTGGAATTATCTTTTGAGGTTGCTCATTTATTCAGTATCTTTATTCCTCTTTGGATGCCTTTTCATGCTCAGTATCCAGAGGTTGGTCAGAATTGGATTTTGAATCTCACGATACTGTTTGACATCTTTTTTTTTTCCATTTTCATTTGTTAGTAGATAAGTAGTGTTTTCTTGATAATACTAATTTTTTAATGAGAAAGTTATGTTTTCCCTCTCTATACACCTAATTAATTCAGTCATTGTTTTTGGTTTATGAAATCTTTGGTTGTTAAAGTATACCTAGTGTCAAAGGTTGTAATGCTTTAAGTGATAACAAAGAGTTACTTGTTTCTGAGAGGAAGGCATATTTAAGAATACCACCTGTCAATTCTTTTCTACAAAGCTAAGTTAGCTATTGTTACTTTTTGGAAAAATGTGTACTCCCATATTGCTGGGAAGAAGTAGCATTTGGGAAGTGTTCCTGGTATTGCTTCTGGTAAAATTATCTTCCATTGAAATATCAGATGACCATGGCAGGAATAAGTACTGAGCTGAGAAGGAAATAGGGCTGCTCTTTCCTGGGCTGCTTTGCTTCCAAAGCCTTGAATCCTTTTGGGACAACAGAGGCTAATGATATCTTGAGATCAGTAAAAGGTTCTAATAAGGCATGTATTTCTCATGGTTGATGCAATTATGAGACTTTTTGTGAGAAATGTATGCTTCACACAATCACGGAATGGTTGAGTTTTTCAAAGCAAGATCCTCTACATAAGGTAGATCAGCACTGTGTCTGGTTGGGTTTTGAGCATCACCAAGGATAGAGGTTCTAGAGCTGCTGTGGGTAACATGTTCCAGGGTCAACCACTCTCACAAGTAAAGGCTTTGAGTGGAATTTTCTGTATTTCAGCCTGTGCCTATTTCCTCCTGTCTTCTCATGGGATACCACTAGAAAGATGTCTGGCTTTGTCCTCTTTACCATCCTCTTCCCCACCTAGTCAGGGAACACACGCTGAGAGGATCCCCCTGAGTCTTATCTCTTGAGACTGAACAGTCCCAGGTCTCTCACCCTCTCCTTGTATAACAGGTGCTCCAAGGCCTAAATCATCTTTCAGGTTGTTCCCTGGACTCACTGCAGTATGTCCGCGTCTCTCACTGGGGAGCCCAGAACTGGACCCAGCACTCCAGATGTGTCTCACCAGTGCTGAGCAGAGGGGAAGGATGACCTCCCTTGATGTGTTGACAGTGCTCTGCCTAATGCAATTCAGGATTAATTCCAACTTTGTCAGCTGATCAACCCTTATTACTATTTTCCACACATACTGTTTTTCCATATGCTTGTAAAATTGTGGAAAATAGTAATCCAATTTGATTTTTTTTGAGTGGGGTAATTAACTGCTGGTAATGATCAAATGCAGTCAAGGTTCCTGTTCCTGTCTGTTCTTGATTATTTGTGTCAATATCTTGCTTGTTGTCACTGATATTGGACTTCAGATATCTGGATAGTATGAAATGCTGTCAATCTTTAGGGCATTCTTTTTTTGACTAAGATAAAGATTCTCCACTAGTGGTTTTACTTCACTACGAGGTTTTACCATTGGTATTAGATGAAAGAATTCTGTGGATGCTCTGAAATATTAATTGATGTACGTGAAAAGAAATAATATTTATCATTACTAAGAAAAAAGGATGGGAGAAATAGCTGATTTTATTGTCAGTTGAGTAGATTGAAGATTTTTTTTTTCCTCTCCTTACAGGCTGACCAAGGTCCAAATGCTTGTGAATGTCACGTTTGCAAACAGGAAGCCTCAGGTCTAACAGCCTCTGCACTTGCAACTGGACGCCTCCCTGCTGGCCACCAGTTCATGAATCCTGAAAAACCTGCACATCCTGCACTTCATCTTTATCCTCACATCCATGGACATATACCATTGCATACAATTCCTCATCTGCCTCGTCCACTTATCCATCCCACCTTGTATACAGCTTCTCCCTTTACACACAATAAGGTAAGCGTGACGAATGAGATGGGTGCATCGTGGTCCCAGGAAAAATACTGTATACCTGTATGAATCAGCGTGACTGAGTATCATTGAAACCATGAAAGTTGCTTTAGATTGTGGTCTGTTTATAGTAGTCGTTTTTGAGGGGATAGTGGGGGCTAGGGAACACACAGATTCAGAACTGGTGGCAGATTCATACAGCAGGGCTAAGGGTAGCTTTTGTCAGGAAGACTGACATTTTCCTTAATGTGATTAGAAAGAACGTGGAGTCAAAGGAGTCTTCAATGGTGGAAACAGTAATGGCACTTTAGTCAGTGTGATAGGACTAATTAAATCTTCATTTCTTATATATTGACGGTCAAAATTTAATATTCCATCTTGGCAATAGTATCTTAAAGTTTCTAGCTCAGAATGTTAGTGATTTTTTTTTTGAGAAAATTAAGGTGTAGAAGTCTTTGTAAGGGGTTTTGTGCTTTGAGAGAACTTGCTTTTTTGAAGGCTCTGCAAAATTCTTTTGACCCAAAACTTGTAAGTAATAAACAAGAGAAAGACGTGGAACAAGGAACTGGGATCAGGTGACTACTTTTCAGAAGTATGAGTCAAAAGCAAGAATTACTCTTAATGTGGTGTTTCACATAGTACTGAAATCGGTTGAACTGTGGGTGCTGCTGAAAGGGGCAAAGCCTTTGCCATTAGCTACATCTGTCATCTTCCTTTCATCTGGTCCAATGATCCTGTGGTTGCAAGGAGGGTAAATTAGTTCACTAAGATAATTATTACTCACTCTTACCATCCTTCTTAACTTCCACTTTGCTTTTTCCTGTCTTGGCAGTATACCTTCGTTATCTTTGTTGCAGTGCACCAGTTCCTTAACTGCAGTGTGCCAGCCTGCCATTTCTCAACAGCCCACTGCTGTTCTTTGAAAACCACTAATTGTTGTACCCCACCTTCCAGAGCAATCCTTCCAGAGCTCTTTTTACATCCCTGATAGCAGTCTACTCAAGCTCCCATCCACCTACTTAAGCTCCCATCCCTGACTTCTGCTGTCTTTCCTTTCAGAAGTCTGTTGTATAGTGGGACATCTGCAGCACACTGTCAAGGCTGCTCCAGAAGCCCCGTGCAGAGTAGCAGGCTGCGAGCACGGAGTACCTTCATAATGCAGGCCAGATCTGCATTAGCCAGATTAGCTCTGGCACAGCACCTGAACCAGCTGGGCTCCATGTATTTATGTTGTGCTGGAGCTAGAAAGACATATGTGGAAGCTGAAGCTTTAGGGAGCTTTTACCTTGGAGGAGCCAGCTGAATTCAGCAGAGCTAGTAGTGAATGAGTTCGGAAGTCTGGCTGGATCAAGCTTGGTTCATCATGCGTAGGCTGTTTTGCCCTGTGAAGTGTGTGTTTGTACCCATGTATATGAGTTTTCTTTTATGCAGGGTATTCCAGCCCCTCCAACCTTCACCTTTAGTCAGATAATGAAAATCCTTTTATATAGAAAAAGGAGACTGGGTATGTAAGTAGTCTGCTTGGCCGTGACTGTTTAGACTTCTATGTCTGAAATGTCGTTGGACTCAGGTGATATTTTTAATACCTATATCTACTTCTGCATAGCTTCTCATTGTATCAAATCTAGTGCAAAAATAGAACAAAATCACTTTTCCTTGCCTTTTTTTAAAGTGATAGTAATTGAACATAATGCTTGCATTGCACAAGGTCTCTGGAAGAAAGTTACATTTTAGAATGTGAATAAATAATTCACAGAATCACAGAGTGTTAGGGGTTGGAAGGCACCTCTG